TTTATTTATTTATTTATTATGTATACAATGTTCTGTCTGTGTGTATGCCTGCAGGCCGGAAGAGGGCACCAGACCCCATTACAGATGGTTGTGAGCCACCATGTGGTTGCTGGGAATTGAACTCAGGACCTTTGGAAGAGCAGGCAATGCTCTTAACCACTGAGCCATCTCTCCAGCCCCCAGTATTAATTTTAGAATGAGATTTTACAATGCATTTGGACGAACCCAAGACTCAGAATCAATGAAGGACTTAACCATCCATAGCAACAGAGAGGGTCTTCCCTCAGAGAAGCTCTGCTGTGCAAGTGAAGAATGACGGCCACTCCCACCCCAACCCAACACCTCGATGTGTTTTCTATCACTGACTGGGATACTTTATAGAACCAGACACGATGAGGACGACGACAGAATGGATGTGACTTGGAGTTGGCTTCTACTAGCTTTGTGACCTTGAACAAATCACTCAACTTCTCGGCCTCAATTTCTTACTCTGTAAGCAGGCACAATGCTCCCTACATCAGAGCTGCAAGGCATCAAAGACAACACACACTAGACACTGGGTAGTGAGAGTCACTACTATCACTGGTCATGTGGCTAGAAATAAGTTCATTCTTTTGTTCCTTTGGCTTTGGAGACAGGGTCTCAATCATATAGTCCAGACTGGTCTTAAGTCAGTCAACTTTTCGCCTCAGCCTCCTGCATGGTAGATCTATAAACACTCGCTGCCGCACCCAGCAAAAATGATTTCACTCTTTAAAATTATCATGTCACCTTTGCTCAACAATCCATAAGGTTCTGATATTCTGAACTATCTTTCAATCAAAAGACCAAGAGACAGAAACAAAACAGCACAAACAGAAAGGCACCATTAATAGTTTTCTACTCTAATAAAACTAGAGGGCAGCATGGCTGGTGGACTGGACAGTACACCACCCTGTCCCACATGGAAGGAGCACCACCAATAAGAATGGATTGGACTCCACAGCTCACCCCTACAGCAATTTCCCAGACACAATTTTAAGAGAGCACTGTTTAAACCAAAGTCCCAACTAAGTTGACGCACAACAAACTAGCCTAAAGCCAGCAGGCAGGACTTAAGCTGCTAAAACAGCCTCTGCTGCCAGGAAGCTATATTCTGCAAGCACCAGGATCTCATTAGGAAGCACAGTGTGGCCTTGAATTTGCAATCCTCCTGCCTCTACTTTTCAAGTGCTGGAATTAAAGGAGTGCACACACCACATCTACCTTAGACTACAGGATTTCAGTGTCAGCACCTCTAAGAAAATATACAAAAAGAACTGCCTACTTAATTAGGAAACAACTTTCTTCACCAGGCCCTGGCTTAAACAGGCAACTCAGTGAAGTATAAAGACACCCCCCCACATGGCACCACCCCAAAATCAAGACTAAACTTTTTTTTTTTTTTGGCAGGGGAGAGGGAGGGCAGGGATTCACTATGTGCAGCCCTAGGCTCTCATGAAATCACTTTGTAGACCAGGCTGGCTTTGAAATCAGAGATATCCGCCTGCCTCTGCCCGCAAGTGCTGGGATTAAAGGTGTGTGCCACCACCGCCCAGCACCTCACCCTCTTTAAAAGACAGTATTTCATGTTGTATCCCAGGACTAGCTTCAAATTCACTATGCAGCTTCTCCTTAGCACTGGATAACAGATACACAGCAGTCAACTTACAGACATACATGGTAAATCTAGAGTTTCTGTCATGCAAGGCCAAGCACTTCTTTTAAAAACCGAGCGATCCCACCCCTCAGCTTTAAAGACAGGACTCGAATAAATTCACTGTAATTTTTTTTTAACTTCCATCTGTCTGTCTATTGTCTGGGTGGAGTGTAGCAGGTCTGAGACATTCTTTGATCAGCTCCACGTCCAGGACAGCATACCCACTCTGCCACAGGATGGAAAAGAGAGAAACAGGAACTTGCAGCCATAAGCTAAGAGCAATGTAGCTCCCCCATCATAGCACAGAGGGCCAGAGGAAGACCAGAAGAACAAGTTTCGTCGTAATTGGCAGAGATCATATGATGTGGCCACCAACAGTGAAACTTGGTATTCTATTGTCAGAGTCCCAGCTAAAGGCCTCCAGAAGACCCTATTCCATGATGACAATAAAGTCTTACAATGCAGAGACCTGAAAATAACAGGGCACGTAGGTTCAGATATTTCTCTCTACCACCACTGTCGAATAAGTCCATGTAGGTTAACATGATTTTTAAGGGATGTAATCTAAAATGGAACTGAGTCCAATCCTTAGTCCACCTTGATGCCAAACTTTTTTTTTTAAATTTTTTTCATATTAGCAAAGTGAGCAAGGTAACACCCAATTCTAATACAGAACCAAAGTCCTAAGAGCTGATTATAAAAGAAAGACTGCTGAGGGTTCGGCTGCAGTTCAGCAGCATTGCCAAGCACGCACAAGGGCTAAATAAAGACTTTTAACAGGGAGTGTTCCTCTTAAAACACCAAGTACTGTCTTCTCATCACCTACCGTGGCCATGGCATTCATGACATCATTCTCTGTAAGTCATCTTCTCCCTAAGCTTTAGACCCTTTATCTTTGGTGCTTTGAGATATTGTGGGGGGAAGCAATACCAAGAGTCACCTGTACCTAAGCTGTACTGCTCACAACCTATAGCTTCTCTCTCTTCAAATTCTTTCCTCAATCCTCTTTCCTGATACTGAAGCAGTGCTGCAATGTGTAGTGGAGATGGGATTCCTCCCTCCCCTGGTCTTCTACAAGGCTATTCATTGGCAGTCACGCTGCTGTACACATCCCTTTCAAATGATTCTCTTCTACTCTCACTGCTTCCTTTTTACTCTCTAAACATAAGGATTTCCCCAAACTTCCCTTTTTAGAACTTCCATAATGTCTCTAACCCCACTCCATTTTTATGTCCTCACTCAATTCTAAGCATCAAGAAAGATCTGGTTAACTTCTTTAGGAGCACAATATTAAACTCAGGCATAGCATTTGTCCTCATAAAAACTGCCTACAACACTAAAAACTAACTAATATAAATACCAGAGACTTCTGCAGGAACCCATCCTATTTCAGGCAAACAAACAAATATCAGTGAGTACAGATCTTGACTGCTCAGCCGGGGCAGCTATAAGTTCCAACTTAAATTAAGATAACACCAGGAGTTATACTCATCGTATCTATGAACTGGTGAAATTCCTGCTGTGATCAAAGCATCCAGGATAAATCTGGACACACTATAACACGCTTGAACTAACAAAAAAGCACAGAGGTGATGTGCACACCCACCTCAAAACAAATCATGTGCAACTTCCTTAACTTCACAGCAATACCAGTTGTGGAACCAAAGAATATTTGCCTCATCTCATAGTCTGCAAAGCTCTAGAATGCTGCCCTTCACACATTAACAGCATTAGCTATTATCAAAATCAAGAGTGGCTGTTTTGTTTTCAGAAATGTCCCTCTAGAAAGAATACAAACCATCACTGTCACTTGGAAACAAAGAATACATACAGCTGGCAAGATTCACATACTTCCTATAACAGAAAAAAAGTAAAGTTCTTGTAACTTACCTAGCAAATTCTGCCAGTTGCTTAGGGTCTGAGAGGTCAATGCCAGGTATCCCTCCAGGAGGGAGTTTCTTGCCTGTCATATATTCAGAATAATCAGGAGGTGAATTCTCGCCAATGATCTGCTCTTCAACCACCGTTTCATGGTCAATATCTTTTTTTTCATCTGAAACACATGAGATTGATCATCTTAACTAGAAAAATACACTGAATATAAAAATAGCTTCCAATGGAATCTTAAAATAACTATAGCTACTGCCTCAATTTCTCAACCACTCATTCTGTGTTCTCCAACTTTTGAACTCCTGATTCTTCTCCACTGAAGGTCACCCAAACCTTCAATGTCAAGCCCCACAGACCTTCTTCACACAGGAGTTCTGAGTTAGCCTACCAGGAATAGCGAGCTCTCCATTAGTGTACTGTTACACTCTCTCTAGCTTTACCTTTCTTGTCTAACTGGCTTCTCCCATGTTTCAGTTTTGCCTTTTTACCTATTTCACAAACTAGTACAGGAAAGAAAAATAGAACACTCTTAGAGTCCAGTAATCATTACAAGTTCAATCACCCCCAGCAAGGAGACACAAAAATTAATCACCTCTCTAACCTTCCACAACTGTTTTTATAAAAACGTGTTTTATTTTGCTTAAAGAACATCCTATTTGCTAGGCGGTGGTGGCACATGCCTTTAATTCCAGCACTAGGGAGACAGAGGAGGGCAGATCTCTAAATTCAAGGTCTACAGAGTGAGTTCTAGGACAGAAACCGTGTCTTGGAAAAAAAAAAAAAAAAAAAAAAAGCCAGGCAGGCATTGGTGGTGCACACCTTTAATCCAGCACTCAGGTCATCAGGCTTTGTGCAGTTTACCCGGAAGATCAATGGCTCTCACTGCCCTCCTTTTTCTTTCTTTTTAAAAGAAAAGGACAAAATATAAATGAAACATTTTTATTTGTCGGGTATAAATTCAAGCCTAACCCTGAGACCTGTGTGCTGAACCCTTTAGCCCAAGTGTCTTCTTAGGAACTAGAATGAACACACTAATTCATCTATGTATTGATAAAGATAAACATCTACGGATGGATGAAGGGTCAATTAAAATAGGCTAGGCAGTGTGACTGATTAGCAGTTACAGAGCTGAGACTCCTCAGTCAGATATTTTCACTTCATTTCCAGTTTTCTGTCCTCAGCAAGGTCAGTCTCTCACGGAGCTCCACCACCATACCACACTAACTGTACAGATACGTGGCTTCAGGCAGGGAAGCTAGTGTTCTACTTTCCCCAGCTCCCAGTCTTACTACTAGTCATCCCAAGCTGGCCTTGAAGTTGTAGTGATCACCCTCCTGCTGGGTCAGTTTAGACACATTTCTGATACAAAGATTAAAACAAAGGGTTCTATGGATGTAGATCAGTTGGTAAACTGCTCGCTGAGCATGAAGCCCTAAGCAATCAATCTCCAGTACCACATAACTTGTGCCTAAGGGCACAGGCTTATAAACCAGAATTGGGGGGTTCAAGATCATCCTCCAAATTCAAAGAAAGTTTTAGGCCAGCCTGGGAATATATGATGAGTGTCAAATCCACAGCACAGAGAACTCCCAACCTAAACCAACCCCTGTATAGTTCCATATATATGAGCCAGGGCCTTGATGCCTGTCCCTGGCAAAGTTGCCAGAGACAACAGTCTACCCTCAGGGAATACACAAGGAAGTTAAATGATGAAACACTCTTATGGAGCCACACCTCCAACTCAGAAAACACTTTTTTAAAGGATCAGTTCTTACTACACTCAAAAGTACAAAAACCCCAAAAAGAGGGGTCGGGGAGACAATCAAGTGTTCCACAAGCCTGAGTTCACTCTCCAGCACTTGTAAAAACAAAACAAAACAAAACAAAAAAACAAAAACAAACCGGCAAAGTAGCATGTAGAATCTGAGCTCTGGGGAGGCAGAAAACATGTAGATCTCTACATGCAGATCACTAGGGCTCACTAGACACCAGTGTAGCCTACTACTCTGAGGATCCCCCAGTCCAAGGCTGTCAAAATCAAGGTAGGACTAGGTGGAATGATACATGCCTTTAATCCTAGCATGGAAGAAGTAAACTGAATGAGGTCAGTCTAATCTACATAGTGAGACCCAGTCTCAAAATGAAAACATGAGATGACCCAGTGGGGTTAAGGATGTGTACTGCTCTTGCAGAGGGCCTGGACTTGAGTTCCCATTCCCAGTAGCTCACAATTACCTGTTAACTCCAGTTCCTGGAGATCAGATGCCCTCCTCATCCTCAGCTGACATACGCACACACCTACACATAAATCAAAAAGTACCCCTACTTTATAAACAAAGTTGTTTGTTTATACAATCCTTTCCACTTCTTTACAGGCCATCGATGGCTGCTTTCCTGATGCAAAATCATGGGGATCTGATTGGCTTCAATAAATAAAAAACACAAACTCACAAAACCCAGTGTTACTACCTGGCCCTTCATAAACTTGACATACAGATGACATTTTCCTTAGAGAAAAGGGGATTAAGATATTTCTTTTCTGAGTAGGAAAATCACTAATTTTTGAGAAATGTGATTTAGTACCAAATGAATACATTTCTAGGAGGTCCTTAAAACATGGTAAAGATTTCTTTTTTTTTTTAAAAAGATTTATTTATTATGGATACAACATTCCTTCCATGTATGCTTGCATGCCAGAAGAGAGCACCAGATCTCATTATAGATAGCTGTGAGCCACCATGTGGTTGTTGGAAATTGAACTCAGGATCTCTGGAAGAGCAGTCAGTGCTCTTAACCTCTGAGCCATCTCTCAAGCTCCCTAAAGATTTCTTTTGAAAGACTAAACCATAGGTTGGTAACAAACCAGATCACTTTTCTTGGAAGATGGTGGTGTCACTTGCTCAGAAAGCCAAGTGTGGAAGAAATGATGAACAATAACAACAAAATCTAGCTTCTCTGTGCTTTGCCATGCCTATGCAGGCTATTAGAAAGCAAGTACAGGGAATACAAAGGAATCTAGTTGAAGAATGGTGTCATTTACTGGCATACAGACTTCATTTATAGCCATACACACATTGAACACACCCACTGAAAATAGAAGGGTCCCAGAGCCACCCTCTAATTCTCCTTGCAAAGGAGATCAAACACTTAAGAAGAGGGTGAGACACAACAAGTGGAAGTGTATGGCAGGGCTGCACCATCAATTTAGTCATCACCATATGCCCACACTTCTGCAGTGTCAGCAAACTTGGGCCCTCTGCAAAAGCAGTAAGTACTCTTAGCCACTGAACTACCATCTTTCCAGCCCCATTTTGGTTTTGATGTTAGTTAGCATCTTATGTGGTCCAGGCTGGCCTGTTCTCATGTTCCTCAGCCCCATCTCCTTACGGTGAGTGTCAGTGTTGGTTACGGGTATGCACACAGCACATACAACCTTCTGCACTGGCTATTATGATTTTCTTTTACTCTTATAATACTGAAAATTATTCTGTACAGGAGAATGTGAGCTGATTCACTTTGAATGTCAAATACACTATTGATTTCTCTGAACTACAAAAGGTGATACTGTACAAAAGTGTCAAGGCAAACTATGTTCAGGAAGCAAATTATCTAATGCTAGTCTAAGATTACTAATGCACCAGACCCAGGGGACATGTCCAATCTTTGGCCACTGTCATGTACAAATGTGTTAGGTCATGTTCATAGATATACTCTATGGCCCATGGACTTCAGGTTGGACACACCTGTAAGAGATTCATTACTAGAGTTGCCTTTGAAGGCAAGGTTAGTATGGAACCTGATTTGACAAGGTAAACCAAGGCCTATTTGGAAAAGGCTGAGAACATAAGAAAGTAACTGAAAGGAGTACAGTGACAAGAATGCCCTGTTGAAAACCAAGCTAAAACTGTCCTGTATTTCCACCAAAACATTATGGCCAAATGCAGATGACCCTGAACTACCAGAGCAGAGCTAAGCAGCCCAGGATGCAGTCTTAAAGAAACCAAGTCTAGCCAGCAATGTCTGTTAAGTGAGCAGAGACTGAGCTACTCATCTACATTCAACGTTCTCTTTCTGCACATAGTATGACCTGAAAGTCAGGAAGGTATTAGTCAGTCCGTCCTGGTCCATTTCCTGGTAGTTCAGTTCCCTTAGCAATGATCACTTCCAGTTTGATGATAAGTAAAGTAGTTGAAAACAACCTCTAGTTACTAAGACCTAATCAAGGAAGTTAGAAGAAAGAGCTGGGAACACTCCAGGTCTAGCACTCAAAATAAGTCTCCTCTACCCAATGTGTATTAACCAAACAGGCTCTTTTTTTTTCCGTTTATTTGTTTAAGATTTCTGTCTCTTCCCCGCCACCGTCTCCCATTTCCCTCCCCCTCCCCCATCAGCCCAAAGAGCTATCAGGGTTCCCTGCCCTGTGGGAAGTCCAAGGACCACCCACCTCCATCCAGGTCTAGTAAGGTGAGCATCCAAACTGCCTAGGCTCCCACAAAGCCAGTACGTGCAGTAGGATCAAAAACCTATTGCCATTGTTCTTGAGTTCTCAGTAGTCCTCATTGTCCACTATGTTCAGTGAGACCGGTTTTATCCCATGCTTTTTCAGACCCAGGCCAGCTGGCCTTGATGAGTTCCCAATAGAACATCCCCATTCTCTCAGTGTGTGGGTGCACCCCTCGCGGTCCTGAGTTCCTTGCTCGTGCTCTCTCTCCTTCTGCTCCTGATTTGGACCTTGAGATTTCTGTCTGGTGTTCCAATGTGGGTCTCTGTCTCTGTCTCCTTTCATCGCCTGATGAAGGTTAATATTCAGGAGGATGCCTATATGTTTTTCTTTGGGTTCTCCTTATTTAGCTTCTCTAGGATCACTAATTATAGGCTCAATGTCCTTTGTTTATGGTTAGAAACCAAATATGAGTGAGTACATCCCATGTTCCTCTTTTTGGGTCTGGCTTACCTCACTCAGGATAGTTTTCTATTTCCATCCATTTGTATGCAAAATTCAAGAAGTCCTTGTTTTTTACTGAGTAGTACTCTAATATGTATATATTCCATACTTTCTTCATCCATTCTTCCATTGAAGGGCATCTAGGTTGTTTCCAGTTTCTGGCTATTACAAACAATGCTGCTATGAATATAGTAGAGCATATACTTTTGTTGTATGATAAGGCCTCTCTTGGGGATATTCCCAAGAGTGGTATTGCTGGGTCCAGGGGTAGGTTGATCTCGAATTTCCTGAGAAACTACCACACTGCTTTCCAAAGTGGTTGCACAAGTTTGCATTCCCACCAGCAATGGATGAGTGTACCCCTTTCTCCACAACCTCTCCAGCAAAGGCTATCATTGGTGTTTTTGATTTTAGCCATTCTGACAGGTGTAAGATGGTATCTTAAAGTTGTCTTGATTTGCATTTCCCTGATCGCAAGGAAGTTGAGCATGACCTTAAGTGTCTTTTGGCCATTTGAACTTCTGTTGAGAATTCTCTGTTCAGCTCAGTGCCCCATTTTATAATTGGGTTGATTAGCCTTTTACGGTCTAGTTTCTTGAGTTCTTTATATATTTTGGAGATCAGACCTTTGTCAGTTGCAGGGCTGGTGAAGATCTTCTCCCAGTCAGTGGGTTGCCTTTGTGTCTTAGTGACAGTGTCCTTTGCTTTACAGAAGCTTCTCAGTCTCAGGAGGTCCCATTTATTCAATGAGGCCCTTAATGTCTGTGCTGCTGGGGTTATACGTAGGAAGCGGTCTCCTGTGCCCATGTGTTGTAGAGTACTTCCCACTTTCTCCCAAACAGGTTTTCTCACAGCTTGCTTTTGGTGCCTGATAAAAGGCATTTAATAAACACACCTTTCCTTGCCTGCCTTCTCTCATTGTTGTTCTCCTTCAACACCTAGAATGAAATCTCTTTCCTCCAAGGCTTTTGGTTCATACATCTCCAGCCACCACTCATAGCTTTGATTTTGTTTCCTCACTAAGTAACAAGAATACAACCTACTTTACAAGATTGGTGGCATGTTAAAATGACAACTTTTTTTTTTTTTTGGTTTTCGAGACAGGGTTTCTCTGTGGTTTTGGAACCTGTCCTGGCACTAGCTCTTGTAGACCAGGCTGGTCTCGAACTCACAAAGATCCGCCTGCCTCTGCCTCCCAAGTGCTGGGATTAAAGGCGTGCACCACCACCGCAGGGCCCAAAATGCCAACTTTTTATCTGAAATGTAATGGAGCTGACTATACAAACATTTTTTTGTAGTTTAGACATGAAAAAAGTGGAATCAAGATTTGATAAGATAAACCAGGGCCTATTAGGAAAAGTCTGAGAATATAAAACACCACAAAAAAGGAGTGCTGTTGCAAGAGTGGCCGGTTGCAAAGACCAAGCAAGGCTGACCTTGAACTCACTAAGACACACCTGCCTCAACCTCCCAAGCACTGGGACTAAAGGCGTGTGCTACTATGCCCACCTTTAATCCCAGCACTTGGGAAGCAGAGGCAGGTAGATTTCTGTGTCTACGAGTTCAGAATAGCCAGAACACACAGAGAAACCCTGTCTCGAAAAACAACAACAAAAAAAATGGAAGAACAGGGCATGGTGGCTCACACCTTTGTTTCCAGTGCTCCGGAGGCTGAGACAGGAGGATCTCTGCATTTGAGGCTATCCAGTCTGCAGAGTGAGGTCCAGAACAGCTAGGGCCATAAGGAGAAACCTCATCTTGGCGGAAAAAAAAAAAAAACACCCAGGAATTTCCAACTAGGTAATATTTCAAGTTTTATACTTTTTAGACACCTCTGGCAGATCCAAAAAAATATCACTGTGAAACATGACACCAGGTTGATGGAAAAAATACTTTTCTTTTTATCATTTTGTGTAGCATCTTCTCTACTCATATTTCCTTTCTTTTTTGAAACAAAATTGGGGCTCATTAAGTTAGATTTAAATATGAAATTTAAGGAGGAAAGCAAGAAAAGAATAACATGAAAGCACTTAAGTGTGAGTTTCTCAAAGAGCCAATTTTTTTCCCTCTTACTGGGGGGCGGGGAGATGACTCAGTGTTAAAGGCATTTATTTCCTAAGTCCAGTGATCTGAGTTGTATCCTTGGAACCCAGATGACAGAAAGAGAACCAACTTCTGAACATTGTCTTCTGAACTCCATATACACCCTGGCATGTATACACACATGTAATCCTCCTCCTGCCATGAGCCTGTAAGTGCTCTAGTTACACCCAATGGCCTACCTTTTTAATTTTTTTTCATCTTGGTATCAAGTAAGGAGAGTGTAAATTTCCTTTTTCATCTTAATTGCCAGAAAAGAAGCTTGTTAAAGAGCTGACTCCAATGATTCTGCTTCTATTTTCCTAGCTTACACATTTACCTACTCATGTACTTTCTGTCTGGATTGAGCCCCCATGCCTCCCTTCTCTGGCCATTCTGGTTTCACTTTCATCAAGGAGCCATCGTCTCAGCACTGACACCATCCAAATCCACACAGTCATGTTCACTATTCATGAACGGTTAGCACAAGAATTATCTTTAACCATTCTAGAAACCACTGTGCAATGCCAGGCAGTGGTACTTAATCCCAACACAAGGGAAGCAGAGGCAGGTGGATCTCTTGAATTTGAGACCAGATGGTCTACAGAGTGAGTTCCAGGACAGTCGAGGCTACAGAGAAACCCTGTGTGGGACTTGGGTTCTTCCCCAGCACTGAAACAGAAGACACTAAGTATATATGGCTTCCTAGTAAACATTTGGTCATTTGTAAAGAAGTACAACTTCTTTGCATTAAAGATTGAAAATAGAGACCAGGTAGGGTGTGACTAAGTGGTAAATGTGTACATTTAACATGCACAAAGCCTTTCATTTAATCCTTGGTAAAGGAACAAAATAATCTTAAAAAATTAAGCTCTGTGTGTGTTAGTGCACATTTATAATTCCAGGACTCAGGAAACTGAATCAGAAGGATTGCCATGAACTTTAAGGCAGGTTGGGCTACACTGAAGGATCCTGTTTCAAGAAAAGAAAAAACAAACAAACAAAAAAGACAAGGTCAACAACCTTGGTCAGTGCTCCCAAGAGGGCAAGTATGATGTGGTTACTAGTAAGGTTCCCTGAAACCACTGGGCTGTTAATGAAAATTAATCATAGGATTGAGCTATAGCTCAGTGGGAAAGTGCTTGCCTAGTGTGTGCAAGGCTCTGCCTGGAGCCCCACACCACAAAAAGCCACAATGGGCCTCACTAACAAGTTACTTCAAATGAGGAAATGGCCCACCTCATGTTCAGAGACCACACATAAATACACACCAATAAACCAGTGAAGTAACACCTAGAATCTCCCTACCATTTCTTACAATTCCAACTAATAAAATTAATGCTTTCAATAGCCAAATGTTTCAGATATTCAATCAGCAAATCCATGGTTCTGAACAGATGTGTACAGAGAACAAGCATGCACAGCACCAGGAAGAGCTGAGACAGGAGGACTGCCTTGAGCATGAGGCCAGCCTGAGCTACCTCACAAGTACTGCTCCCAAAAAGATGATCCAGTAAGTAGGACTGATGGACCTAAGTTCAGAGTTCAGCACTCATGTAAGACTCAAAGCTGTGTGTGTGTGTGTGGGGGGGGGGTAATGGAAAGAGGAGGCAAGCTGGCCCAGCCTAGCTCCCAGGTTCAGTGAAAGACCCATCTCAAGGACATATGATGGACTGCATTGAGCAGACACCTAACATCCTACTCTGGTTTCTGGAAGGCCTCCTCCACAGCACAACACACACACACACAGAAAAAAGTTGCACAACTTTTCTGATAAAACTGTAATATGAATTCAAAGTAAATATTCTGAGTTTTAAACCTATAAAAAGTTTCCATTTTGTTTATTCTTCCTATTTGATTATTCTTACACTGTAGCAAAGTAGGAGCAAGAACACCTGAGTCAGAGGATGAGTTAAACTAAAGATTACAGATCTTAGGAAATTCATTCCTATAATAACTGTTCTGCTAATAATCCATTATGAGTCCCAAGTTTCTCAGTTTTTAGAAACTGTCTCAGCACGCTTCAAAACAAGCAGATATGCCTTGGGTGCAACCACCCTTAGGTCCAGTGTAGGTCTGTGTCCTCTTTTTAAAAGGTTTTAAATGTTTTGCATGCATGTATGTTATGAGCACCAAAATGGAGCTACAGACAGTTGTGAATCACCACATGGTGCTGGTAATCAAACCTGGTCCTTCTGAAAAGTGACCGGGGCTCTTATCCACTGACCATCAGCTTGTTTTTAATATCTATTCTTTCAAAAGCTTAAAACGCTCTGGCACTAGATAGGATAGGAGCTGGGACTGTTCTTGAAAGGGACTTTTCTGCTCCTGTTGGCTGAAGAGAACAGTTATCAGGGGCAGCTGAAGAAAAGGTTAATAACCTGCAATGAAGAGTCAAAGGTCACAGGCTTTTTTTAGCAGGCTGGGACTCCCCCAGTCACTAGATCAGAACTGGGTCTTAGACTGAGATTGCCTTATGTAGGGCATATAGTTGACAAGATTGCTTTGGAGAGTTTTGGGGACTTTGTTCTGTGGAAATTCATGATTGTGGTCTCATTATAACATGGTAACATTACCACAGAGGAATGGCAAATGGCCATTACTGAGAAGCCCCGAGTTTTTCTGAATGTATAGAACAACAAAAAAGTGTAACACACATCTGGTTTTATTTCAACTTGGTATTGGTTGTTTTCTAGGGTCACATACTTTCACTCAATTGAGCACAAAGCCCTTCCATAGTTGGTTTAACAGAAGACAGTTAAAGTCATGTAGATTTCTCTTGAAGTCAGATGCTTTTGCTAAGTGATTTCCTTTATTATTAGTTATATAAAAATAAGTCATTCCATGGGCTGGAGAGATGGCTCAGTGGTTAAGAGCACTGACTGCTCTTCAAGAGGTCCTGAGTTCAATTCCCAGCAACCACATGATGGCTCACAACCATCCATAATGAGATCTGTTGCCCTCTTCTGGCCTGCAGGCATACATGTAGACAGAACACTGTATACTAAATAAATAAATAAACTTTATAAAAAAGTCATTCCTGTATGAATCTGACGACTATTTCCAAAAACAAACAACAAAACCAGCTCTCAAGAATAAAGGAAAAACAACTAAATGCCAATCTGAAAACTACAAATATTTCAAAACAAAGTATTAAAAATGTTTAGGAAGCTTTAATTTGATGCACAAATACATGCTAATCTAGACACAAAAAGGCAAATATTGTCTGATTCTAGCAGTATAAAGTATCTGGGATAGGCAAACTCAGACAGAAAGACTAGTGGGAAGAGGGGTAGAGGGGAGTGACTGCTCACAGGTCTGTGATGAAGTCACTGTGGTGATTTATGATTACCACCCCAATTTTGGCCAAAATGCTGGACCCTTGCCTCAAAACAAAACAAGTGGCAGATCATGGTGGCACAGATCTTTAATTTCTCTGAGTCTGAGGTTAGCCTGGTTTACATAGTGAGTTCCAGACAACCAGGGCTATATCAAGTCTCAAAAAAAAAAAAAACCCACAAACAACAATAAAAAGTATCAAAAAGTGACAATCATTTGTTGTATAACAATTTCTTAGAGACTGAAACGTTCTATCCTCCAAAAAGCTCAAACTCAAAAAAGATTCAGGACAAACTCAAAAAAGATTCAGGAAGTCCCTGAAACTAAGCAGAATTCCTAGTCCCCTACTGGCCAGATCAAACAATAAAAGTTGAGTCCCCTCAGACAAAAATGAAGTTGAGCTGCAAAAGACTCTCACTGCAGATCATCTGCCTGCAAGGGGTTTGGACCAAAGCACTTGGAAAGGACACTCCCTAAGCTGTTGAGCTACCTGCAGGCTGTGTAGTGTGGTTCAGGTTCCCAGTCTGTGAACCTGACCATGCTGGGGTGGGCTTTAGTGATACAACTGTTTTTTGAGTCATTTCTGCTCCTATAAATACTCCAATAACACTGGTTCCCCAAGTTAGACTTTCCGGTGATATGCACACTGATCTGTGTGGGTTCCCTATCTAGGGTGAGCAGCTCTGTGTGTTGCATCTTCCCAGGAAAAGTTTTGTCACTCAACATCACTGAGGTACTACTGGGAGACAGACGAAGTACTGAACTGTGAGAGGTGAAGGAAAGGGGCAGTCCTCTATGCCCTCTACCAGTAAGAGTTACAGTGCTCTGCTACTGTTTCATTCAAAACATGACCTCCACAAACAATGCTGTCACTCTAAAGTTCAAAGAGGTAACAACAGAGACCTACAAAACCCAAATATCCGGCTTCCACAAATTCCTACTAACATGTATTTAAACCAAAACCTCCAAGAGGCACAAAAAAATTTCTAGTATATTAAGACTATCCCTAATCTTTTTTGTTTGTTTGTTTGTTTTGATTTTCGAGACAGGGTTTCTTAGTAGCTAGGAACTAGCTCTTGTAGACCAGGCTGGCCTCGAACTCACAGAGATCCACCTGCCTCTGCCCCCCAAGTGCTAGGATTAAAGGCTTGCTCCACCACTGCCTGGGGGCAACTATCCCCATTCTTGCTCCTGGTGGTGGGTCTCTGAGTTCAAAGTCAGTCTGGTCTAAAGCGCTAGTTCCAGGACAGTCAGGGGAAAACACAGAGAAACCTTGTCTCAAAAAATAGTAAGACTAACCACATGTATAACTATTTTTACAAGGGCTACAGGTAACGAAGCTTGGTGCTTATGTAAATCTGTGGCTTCCTCGTTTAGCTCATCTAAAGCATTAATTCAATAAACTATACAATGTGGAGTGGCAACTCATGCCTAGAATCAAATGAGAGCCATTCCTACTACAGCAACATCACATACATGACAGACTTAATTTAGCTAATCTCCTTCCACTTCTTCGCTTATTGCATGGCCTTAATTCAGTTCTGAAGATTAAATTATTTTCAGAATCTGAATTTGGGACATGCATAGTTGACCACACACCACTTAGCTCCTTTTTGGTAATAACTGCAAGCCACAAAGGCATGGAAGAAGGACCATTTACCACCAAGACATTCAGAGGAAATAGGCCATCCCTTGCTATTGTCATCAAATATTTACAACCACTGTTTTTGCAAACTACTCAGTAACACACCAGACAATTAAGGTTTTAAAGAAACAGACATTAAAATACCCCCGAGCTATTCTATGTGCCCTTGTACAGCCAGTAACACAAGGGAAGTAATGACTAAATGCTGACTTAATTGTAAATTAACCCACATTAGCCAGGTCCCTCACTTTCTCCCCAAACTGGCTGTCTCAATACACACTGCTTCCTAAATCAATATCACACACACTATCAAGTCCCCCCCCCCCCCCCCCCCCCCNCCCCCCCCCCCCCACCACCCCCCCCCCCCCCCCCCCCCGTCTGGAAAAGCAAGTTATCACTTTGGTAAGATCAAATGCCAAACAAGTAAAAGCTGTTTTATAACCTAAGTTTTGTATGGTTAACGTACTTGGCACCCCAAATTTGGTAAATTCATCTAAAGCCCTAAACCTGCTTTTTTGT